CCAGTGTCACCAGTGTCGCCAGTGTCACCAGTGTCACCAGTGTCGCCAGTGTCACCAGTGTCGCCAATGTTGCCAGTGTCACCAGTGTACCAGTGTCACCAGTGTACCAGTGTCGCCAGTGTTACCAGTGTCGCCAGTGTCACCAGTGTCGCCAGTGTCACCAGTGTCGCCAGTGTCACCAGTGTCGCCAATGTCGCCAGTGTCACCAGTGTACCAGTGTTGCCAATGTCGCCAGTGTCACCAGTGTCACCAGTGTACCAGTGTCGCCAGTGTCACCAGCGTCGCCAGTGTCACCAGTGTCACATATACCAACAAATGTTTTACAAACTAGGTTTGTAAAAGTTCCCAGTTTCTGTATTACTAATAACAATAACTATAATTTTTTTATATTATGCTTTTTATAAGCGTAGAACCCAAATAATTACTGTAACTGGTGTTTGGTTTCAAACTCGGACAAACTAGACAAATTAATCAGATTTTATTTTTAATTGGATTAACGATTAATGCTTTAAATTAATTAAACATTATCGCAGTCAGCGATGAACGATTTAAAAAATGTTATCATTAATCGTACAGTTGATTACGACAAATTAATTTAAATCGTTAAACGCGATTAACATTTTAATCGTTAATTTTTAGTCGTTAATCAGATTAACAGTTTGCCAACACTGTGCGAAATCATGTTCATATTGACGGAGAAAAATGGACGTTTTTGGAAAAGAGGCGTAGCACGTCCCATACTGACTGAAAGTTTCATATTACATATCTCTTCAAATGTTTGGGGTAAAGCACTCAAGCTTAATATGAAAATACATATGTATTTATGTATGTGAAACTAATACCATACTCATGGAGAAAAATGATAGTTATTGGAATAGGTTATGTGGCAACTCCCATGCAAATTGAATTTTTTTATGCTACATATCTTTGGAGGTGTTTATTGCAGAGCGCGGGAACTTGGCACCGAGATGTGTATACAAAATTAATTCCATACTCATGGAGAAAAATTTGCGTTATTCGAAAAGGGGACATGGTTCCTCCTGTACAAATTTACTGCTTTATACTGCTTATCTCTAAAGGTGTTCAAGGTAGCGTACTGGGATTTGGTACTGGGGTATGTAAAATCAATTCTAAATTCATGGAAGAAGAAGTGTTTGTGGAAGAATACTGGAACTTGGTATGGAGTTGTGTACGCAAAATGTATCAATTGCTCATGGAAAAAATGTGAGTTATTTCACACATACTAAAAACTTCTTAATACATATGTCTGGAAGGATAGAAAATCTCTCGAAGTATTTTAAATTTGTTATGGAGATTTATTTTATAAGTGCCGTACTGACAGAATTAATTTCATTAAATGGAAAAGGGAGAGCCGGGTTCGGCCTTATAATCTAAAGCTCTCTTGAGGCATTTGCTACAGTAATGAGAAGTGGTATTTTATCAAGGCCAGGTTACTAAATTTGAGTTGGAAATATTAGAACCCGCCGTGGCACCTCCAAGAAGGTTACACGTTCACGCGTCGTGACGATATTTTATAACTTCATAGTTTTTAACGGCCTAAATACCTTAACTCGATTAAAAAATAACGAGCTATAATGAAATGGGCACAGAAATACAATCTAACATCATTAAATTATTTTTCATATTTGTATAAAAGCGCGGGGTGAAACCCGCGGGTATAAGCTACTAATTTCATAGTTTTAAACGGCCTAAATACCTTAAGTCGCTTAAAAAATAACGAGCTATAATGAAATGGGCACAGAAATAAAATCTAACATCATTAAATTATTTTTCATATTTGTATAAAAGCGCGGGGTGGAACCCGCGGGTATAAGCTAGTTATTAATAACTCTAAGCAATAAGATGACTAAATAGAATAGGTGAGTCTTCATCTATATCGCATTTAAGAATTCGGCCTATGACTGAGTCAAAATGGTCTGCAGGAATACCGTTAGGCTCACTCACTTTAATGCATAAATCACTTCGCTTTAATGAATCGCCTGCTTTTAAATACTTGGCAGTAACAATTGACTTGCCTAATTTAATTTTACACGGCAGCTCACTTGGAAGTACTATTCTGTGTTTTACTTCCTTTAATGCCAATTCAATAACATTCTTCTGGCCAAGAATTTCAAAAATTTGTTCGTTATTCAATGTGCCAAGTTTTGCAAGATTTTTAATATGCTTAACAAGACTTCCAAATTCGTGGGGTTCTAATGAACATTTGTGGTCTGAGCCTTTTTGTTTTTTATCCAATGTAAAATGACGTTCAATAATTCTCGCCCCTACTAGCACGGCTGCTTTGCTAATGTCGATGCCCTTCTCGTGACCGGAATATCCTATGACCACGTTTGGGTACTGCTGTTTTAAAAGTCGTATTATGTTAAGAGAGCTATCCTCTGGATCTGTAGGATACGAGGAAACGCAATGCATTAAAGCATAGTTAGTCTTGTTATTTCTCTGCATTATATTAACAATATTGTCAATCGTTTTAGTCGTTTGCATTCCTGTTGAAACAACCAGTGGCATTTCCATTTTAGCTGCTTTCCTTAAGAGTAGCACGTTGTTGGCATCTCCAGAACCAATTTTTATAAAAGGGACATTCAACGCATACAAAAAATCCAGAGAATCCTGAAAAGACAATTACATATTTATCTTTCGAAAGCACATACCGTTTTTCAGTGTAATACATATCGATACGTAAATAAGAAATTTAAATTGGAAAATATAAAAATTTTTGCAACTGTCTTTCTTATTTAATTTGTTTGCTTCTCGAAGCATTGATCCATCCGTTGCAAGGCCCAGTGATCAGCGTTGAGTTGGGCGAACGTACCAAAAGCTGTTATTCAATCGCTTGTTTTGTTTTTCAAAAAGGCATCACATGCAAATAGATTTTGACAATTTAAAATTTTTGTAAAAAGAAATTAAAAAGATTTGACATTTCAAAGACCAAATAATTTGAAAAAAAAACAATCAGCTGCTCTACTGATACTACTTGTTCAATATGCCTTGGTCGATACGTACTTACGATACTTATCGTTTGCTTCGAGAAGCAAACAAATTAACTAAGAAGACAGTTTTTATATTTTCCAATTTAAATTTATTATTTTTTTTTTGTATTTCGCATATTGATTTAATGTTTATGGCATTTTTGAATAGCAATAATGAGATGACTGTCGGCCGCTGTGGTGTAGTGGTAAGCAGTGCGCGCTCCCACTCCGCAGCACCTGGGTTCAAACCCTGCTCAAAGCAACATCGCAAAAAAATCTAGAAAAAAGGTTTTTTCTTAACAGCGGTCGTCTCTCGGCAGGCATTGGCAAACCTCCGAGTGTTTTTCTGCCATGAAAAACAGCATCTCATAAAAATACAATCGCCGTTCGGAGTCTGCGTAAAACTGTAGGTCCCTCCGCTTTGTGTGACAACATCAAGGCGCACGCCACAATTTTAATTAGAAGTGGGTTTCTCTGTTTGCACCAAGAATCAAACTTTATACTTAAGATCCTCTCTTCTGCTTCGTTTGAGTGTGGTATTGAAAAAAAACAAAATTACGTATCTTCAAACTGTAATAACGTACCACTCTTTAGAGACTNACAAGAAGCAAAGTTTATACTTAAGATCCTCTCTTCTGCTTCGTTTGAGTGTGGTATTGAAAAACACAAAATTACGTATCTTCAAACTGTAATAACGTACCACTCTTTAGAGACTGCATCCAAACTTCCTACTGACTTAAATTACTTTTTTCAACTGCGCAAAAACTATGAAAGGCTAAGAATTCTTTAAAAGAGTATGTACCACATTGAGATATCTTTTATGCAAAACTCTTTTACAATGTCAGTAAATAGAGAAAAAAGAATTGTAAGTTGTAGGAAAAAGCCATTCAATTACTCAAATTTGCCGTTATTAAACTGAACGTTATTTTCGGAATAACTAACAACACTCTAAAAAACACGTCTACTATAAATAACTTATTTTCTTCTTACTTTTTACAGTTAAAGGAAATTCCAACGTTATGTAANGAAATAGAGAAAAAAGAATTGTAAGTTGTAGGAAAAAGCCATTCAATTACTCAAATTTGCCGTTATTAAACTGAACGTTATTTTCAGAATAACTAACAACACTCTAAAAAACACGTCTACTATAAATAAATTATTTTCTTCTTACTTTTTACAGTTAAAGGAAATTCCAACGTTATGTAAAAACCTTAAAATAATCCTAACGTGTTTTGTTTGTGTAAAATAATTACACAAACAAAATACATGGCGAAAAATTACCGAACACAAAGTTACCGAGTACCAAATTCGCCGGAAGGACCCCTTTTATAATTTTTTACGCTTAGAATTGAAAATTCAGTACAAATCAGCACAATTTTTGAAGAATCAGGGCATTAGCGTACTGATTAAGGAAATTAATAAAATCAGTACGAGAGTTGAAAAATCAGTACTGGACTGATAAAATCAGTACGTCTGGCAACCGTACTTTTGATATATCTTGCATATCGACGGCTGAATAGAAGATCAACCGGTTCGAAAACGCCATATCTCAGAAAATTATTCAAGAACGCCCTAATTCAGAATTTGATTGAAANATTTTGAAGAATCAGGGCATTAGCGTACTGATTAAGGAAATTAATAAAATCAGTACGAGAGTTGAAAAATCAGTACTGGACTAATAAAATCAGTACGTCTGGCAACCGTACTTTTGATATATCTTGCATATCGACGGCTTAATAGAAGATCAACCGGTTCGAAAACGCCATATCTCAGAAAATTATTCAAGAACGCCCTAATTCAGAATTTGATTGAAATACCTCTATTTCAGAATTCGATTAAGGTACGCCCTTTCTCAGCTGCCGCTTCAAAAACGCCCTATATCCACATATTTTCAATTTATTTTCAGTTGAGATAGGGCATTTTGGAACAAAATTCTGAGATATCGCGTACTCCAACAAAATTATTAAAAAGGGTATTTTTCAATCAATTTTTGAAATAGGACGTTCTTGAAAAATTTTCTGATATAGGGCGTTTACGAACCGGCTGCCGATATAGATCAATCTTCCACTCCGCCGTCGATATGTATGTACATACATACCAGTGTTGTTGTGAATATTCGCATTCGCAATAATCAATCCAAAGCTGAGGCGTGTCAACTCGAGGACAACATTTATTTTATTTTCTTTTGTAAAATTTTCAATATTAGCACGCAAAAAATTAAAGATAAAACAGAATGTGGAAAAGTTGAAAGCCAAGTTCACAAATCAAATAAGAACAAATTCAAGGCGAATTTCAAATTTAATATATATATGTTATCGATTTTACATGAAATAGATTTTATTGATTCATGATATCGATACTTTCTTAAATATCGAACATTCCTAGATTTAGGCTGGTTCCATGATACTAATTCTTCTTCTTCTTATTGGCGCTGTAACCGCCTAAGCGATTTTGGCCAAGTTCAACAAAGCACGCCAGTCGTTTCTCTTCTGTGCCAACTGACGCCAATTGGAAATGCCAAGTGAAGCCATGTCCTTATCCACCTGGTCTTTCCATCGCTCTTCCTCTGCTACCACCAGCGGCTTCCGAGTTGAGTACTTTCAGAACTGGAGCGTCGGTGTCCATTCGAACGACATGGCCAAGCCAGAGGAGCCGCTGTATTTTAATTCGCTGCATTATGTCCATGTCGTTGTAAAGCTCATACAACTCATCTTTCCATCGTCTGCGGTACCCGCCGTCGCCAACGCGATCAAAATCTTTCTCTCGAACGCTCCAAGAGCTGCCTCGTCGGATGTTGTCATTGTCCATGCTTCTGCGCCATATACCAGCACNTTTCCATCGTCTGCGGTACCCGCCGTCGCCAACGCGATCAAAATCTTTCTCTCGAACGCTCCAAGAGCTGCCTCGTCGGATGTTGTCATTGTCCATGCTTCTGCGCCATATACCAGCACGGGAATGATAAGTGACTTATAGAGCGTGGTTTTCGTACGTCGAGAGAGGACTTTACTCCTGAATTGCCTACTCAGTCCATAGTAGCACTTGTTGGCAAGAGTGATCGGTGTTAATGCTGGTTTCCAAGCACACGAAACTCTCTACTTTCTCGAAATTGTAACTGTCAACAGTGACGTGGGTGCCAAGGCGCGAATGTGCTGACTGTTTGTTTGAT